TATCAAGAATCGGGTATATAGTATTTTTAATTTTCAACATTTCGGTTTTAAACTGATTAAAATCACTTGAATCTGATGTAATTCATTATAAGCTTTATGTTTTTAGGTATTTCAAGAAGTTTTTTGGCTGTAATCACCCATAAATTGAATACTTTAGATTTGGAGGTTATGTTTCTTTTTTTTTTGTGTCCTCTTTTTTTAACTAAATACAAGAATATTTCTTAATCTACGACGGAAATACGAACGGATTTATCATTGATTAAAACATTTTTACAAATAACGACGAAATCAATGAGAACTATAACAAACTTTTATGAAATTTTTCAACGATCAGCTTTAACTATCCTCGGTATATCAACTTTGATATCAATACGTGAGTTGTTCTTTATATTTTAATTATAATATTAATTTGAACGGTAAGATCACTGATTTTATTGTTGTTTTTATCTGATTGAATTGTATTTATCTATTTTTTAGATTTGAAGAAGTACTAATAAACTCTCTAGGCTCTCGATTTACAAGGATTTTTCTACGGAATGTCATTATTTCCTCTTTATTGTAATTATTTCTTATAACAAAACTATTGTTTATTAATTAATTAATAAAATTATGAGTGGAACCCAATATTATTACAATATGTATAGTTCTTGAGTCAATAACACCGGATATCTCAGGTGATGATTTGATGTATAACCTGTAGGCCGAACATTTTACTTCTTCATAAAATCTCAAACATATTCTTTGCTAAATAATTGTTGCGTGCACTACTGAACTAAATAACTACTTAGCTAACAACTATTTAGCAAACAAATAATAGAGAGCTTATTAAGTCGTTAAAAGTTCTGCCTTTTAGATCATGCTAAAAGTTCATATACCAATAAACCAATATCGCTTTATAACAACATGGTAGAAATGACGTAAACATTTTGATATTCATAATATACTTTATTTAGAACTAATAACTTAAAGTTTTATAATAACTTAATAATAGGATAACTTAATTAACTTTTTCATCGAAGTGTTAAACTTTGTGTGATTAATCATATAACATAAAACAAATGTATTCTACTAAAAGGATGGCAAAGTTACATATTTTATCGTCAATATATCTTTCTGTAGAAGGGTGCACAAAACATATTTGTTAATTGAAGTGTAACTTTTTCATTTGAATTTTTTATTACGATAATGTGTGCAAAAATAAAGTGTTTTAATTCTTGTACATATAAAACTGAAGTTGTCACCATCAATAGATATATGATGAATAAGTGCAAAGTATGGAAGATCATTAAAAATATCGTAAAATAAAACATCCTGTTCATTAAATCGAATCACATTGATTTCAAGCCATTTAGTACACTGAACTTTGGCAACTGACTCTTCTACAAACATTAATGGTCCGTGGGTTATTTTGTCAATCATATTCTTATTAATACAAATTTCCACTATTTGTCACTAAAACTAACATTTGATCTACAACTATTTTATGTCGAACAAAGTAGATACGCGCTGATTTCTATAGAAATATATTTTTAAGTCTTTGTAGATTTAAAAGAAACACGTTTGTGACAAATTAAATTGTAACTTTTCCCTGTTCAATATTTGCCAACTTCAAAACGAAATATTACTGTAACAATCAAAACGGATAACCATTTATTGTAACTAGATATTCCTTTCTCCATCAATCGATAAACACCAACCAGTTTATCTGCATGTAAAATCAGAATATAACTTGTAACCAAACGAGCTAATACAATAATGTCAATGTAACCAGAAAGTCGATCCTATGTAATTTGTTTTATCCCACACAAAATTTAGCAACTCGCAGAAGTAAACAGTTTCACGGTGTGTTGGTATAGAATAACACAAAACACAATTCAGAATCTCTAAATTCAAGAGCGAACGTGGTCTGATTTACATGTAACGGATCGTTCGCGCTGAAAGGAAACACAAACCTTAAAGCTCCGTGTGTTGGAAAGTTTTTCCGCGAGTGAGCTTTTACAGTTAAAGACCGGGGTCCTGTTGTATTCGTTGGTCGTCGCCATTATACATTGAAACAAATATGCCGCCGCCGTCGCCTCCGTACTACGACTTTAACATATGGTAATGTAATGCAACGTTATTGTGTAGGGACGGTCATTTGTTTGGCTAACATGAACCGTTTGAATGCGAGCGAAATTACGACACAAGACACACGCGTTGACGACCAATGTCAACTTTTGTTCATTCGATAGATATTATATTATACACACCGATTCCGTGTATGGAGAAGGAATTTAAGAAATGCTTTTTACCGGAGCAAAAAAATTAAAAAGATATTTTGAATGATAACCAATTAGTATTTATAGCTAAGAATGTTACAACCCATAACACAGATAGTGTCGGTTGGATTCCTCGAATGGTTTGGACTCTTGAAAGGAAAAAAAACTCGTAACTGTAGCAAAATGCTTTCGCTGGTTAAGCTCGCTATAAAATGTCTATTGATTTGGGTCGTTTTGAAACGTTTATGAACTATAAAAGTGTGTCTTTCGCAGCAGGATAGAGTAAGAAATAAAATAATAAAACGGTCGGTTCTCGAGGTACATAGGAAAAAAAGATAACAAGAAAAACGTGTTGGTATTGGCTCGACTCCACGATCAGAAGTGAATTCATACGATGTGTTTAGTTTACGTTCGTAGCATTTTAATCGTTATAAAACGACCGGTGGTCTCCTTCCTAAGATTTCCGAGAAGATACGCGCTTTTAATACGCCATAAATTTTCGTCGGTGTTGTAAATTAATACAATTTAATAGCGAGAAGTTAATAACTAGTTCTACCATCTTACGTAACATCTCATTAGTGACCACTGTGTTGTACGAAACTATTTCGATCATAAACTTTAAAATTACCAAGAAATTTCGTTCGTAAAAAAGTTTTATGGTGAAAGCTGTTTGTTGTAAATTGTCGATTTCAAATAAATTCAATTAAACTTGACATTGCTACGAGGTTGGGAATAATAAATTTCTTTTAACTTCGTATAATTCCCGCTACTTATTTTTCTATGGCGCCTGTATTAGCATTAGCTCATTGCATGCAAATTCTTGCCATTTCTATTCATGACAAAACGACACTAGACATGCTAAAATTTTTTAAAATTTAAATTAATTCCTACATCGATAATTCCGCCTTGATTTCCTGATATCTTGATAATGTATGATCCCTCGGTCAATACTATATCGTGACTTTACTCGTATTACTTTGGCGCGCATAATCTAATGGTAATGATCAAGGAGATAACTGGGTAACCGTATCAAATTACAGAAATGTTTCTAGCCATACGGTGTACAAATGATCACCAACGCCGAGACACACAGCCTTTACCGGTTAAAACGACCATTTTCATTACGCTATTAGACGATTTGTCGGTTCACATTTTCTAACGGCGAACAAGAATCGAGATCGTAGAAATTGACGTTTATTAACGATAAATCCCATTCGATTAATTACACGTCCTCAATATTTTAATGTTTTATATCGAGCTTATGATCTTCTTCAAAGATAAAGAGTGTATGCATTTGTTGAGATAAATTAATAAATTAATTTAAAATGACAACAATAATTAACATTTCAAAGCACTATCCATATCGAAAGAGCCGAGAAGATACAAACTGGCGATATACAGGATGTTTCATTTAAAATGACATATACAGGATGTCCCGTTAAGCGTACGGAGCGGCTGTATCTCAATAACGGTAAGGCCTAGAGATTTGGGAAAAAAATCCTTATAAGCAAAGTGGGCAAGAGAAATCGCTGGAAATTATTTTGAAGTTCGTAATTCGACCACTAGGGGGCGTAACTGCCATAAAGAAACATAAAATTCCCGCTATCTCAGAAAGTTAGACGATGAGCTATAACGTTGACAACATCATTTAGTAGCT